AAAGCCTAAAAGATTTTGCATTTCTTTAGGCTGCCCTTGGCTAATATCAGAATAAGGGCCCAGCATATTATTGTACAACTAGGAATGACTTAAACCTGTCTCTTTCATGGGCTGGGAAGGAGATGAAAGCAGGGGTGGGATTCAGATTCGGATTGGTTTGGGTGAACCGGTAGCTCCAATGATCAGCTGAGAGTGAACCGGTTCACTTTGACAATCAGGTTGCCCTCCTGCCCTTGCGCTTTACTTACCTCTCAGCTGATTAGCATGGCAGAGTGGATTGCCACGCCTCAGCTGTATTACTCCCCAAGAAGTAACATGGGAAGGTAAGTTTTGGTAAAACTGCACAGCAAAACATGCAATCACTGAACCGGTTGTTAAACTGGCAGGATCCCACCACTGGATGAAAGCAACATCATAGGAAATGGCAGAAGTGGTATAATCCAGTATGAGGAAAGCATAGCCCTGTGACTATAATTCTAATAGTTCAATAACAGCTAGGGCTACTTTGCAGTAAAACCAATCTTGTCACCCTATACAAAGAAGGAAGAATGCATTCATTAAAGCTTCAAGGGAAGTAGAGAATGAAGACATTTGTTTTTCAAAAAGTGTAATACCTGTGGGTGCCACTTGACATGTTTCTTGCTTTCTGGATGTTGTCTAACAATTTTGCAAGGAAACATACATTTGATAAAGGGCAATAATTAGACTTTAGTTGCTTAATAACCTGCTCAAGAACAACTGTGCAACAATGTTCCTCTTCATCTTATAATGCATCTCCTTCTAAATTCCTTATTTCGTGATTCCTGCATCTACCCAATTAATTAACACAAAAAGTCTTGGAACTGGGAAAAACTTACCCAGTTTCATTCAACTAAGAATTTTGAATAACTGAGTAATGCTGAATTATTTCTTGTATCAAAGCTTAGCTTGTAGTAAAGGAAAGTTTTTTTTATTTTGACTATGATAACATAAGTAAGATTAGGAGCTATCACTTTATCAGAAAAATGAATAAAATATTTCAATCACTAAGAAAGAATAGCTGGTAAGAATATTCAACACACTATTAGTATTTTCAAGTGTTTTAGTTTTGTCCAGGACTTGATGTTCTTAGATGCTGAAAGGTTGTAACAATTAATTTTATTTCTCTGTCTGGACTATTGTAGCTTTTTGTATAATTAGATAACATTGTGTAGTTAGGTAATCTTATGTCACAGACCTAAAGTCTCCGTATTACAAAGTTTAAAGACAATCACAGTAATCTGAACTCTTAGTAAAAGTCTAAAATTTGGAATTCAAGGAGCAGTCCAAAACCACTGGGACATTTACCAAATGTTTGCTTTTCCATATATGTTTTGTTCATACGGGTGTGTGTATGAAAAATAGATTGTGTTTTAATTGTACCATGTTGTTCCTCCTGCATATTCCTGCAGGAAGCATTGGTTGAACATGACCTTTAGATATTTTATAGAGCCAAAGCTGAACAATTGAGAAATCTGAAAAGGAATGTCAGCTAGTTGGCTTTTTGCCTATGTTGTAATACCAAAAACTGTTTATGAAGGAGAAAACTATTTAATTGATTTCCACACATGATCATCAGCCAACGTGATCCCATGCTATATTGGCATAATTAACAAATAATTAACAGATCTGGCTGCAAAGTATGAATCATTGTAAAGGAATTGCTTTGTCTTATTGTTTTTTTAAAAAAAAATTGGACTTCCACAGTTCATTCAAAGCAACATGTTATACTAAGTTTTGCTTACATATGATACTTCAGCTGAGCATGCACAATGAACATTAGTTTAAAATTTCCTTATTGTGTAAGTTAGCATTTTCCAGTTTCCTTACCTTGGAAAGAAGACAGAGGAAGATCAAGAGAAACTGGAGTTTCATTCTGACACTTCAGCATATCCCTCCTCAAGCTGTTTGGAGGCTGCAGTCTTTAGAGCCTGCGAGTAAACTCCTGCAAGTGTTTATACTCTTCCCTGCTCTGATGTCATTCCTAAGCTCCAGTATAAACACAAGTTGGTTTGGGCAAGAATCAAGGAGTTTCTCTCTCTCTCTCCCCCACCCCCCTTCCACTCAACATTCCAGTTAATACTTCCACACACTTCAAGGTGAGAACATGAAGCCCATCAAGAAAGCAAACGAAGAAGACAATTTGTTGTATGATCACTGCAGACCTTTATTGAATAAAAGCAATAAGTAATAATACCAAATAGATAAAATAATCTAAGAATTT